GTCAACTGTACTGAAGACTGCACTAAGGTCAAGTAATTCCATAATAGAAGCATTGAGCGGTTGTCTGAGCTCATTTAGAAATCTTTTGCGGCTCTGACCAGGGAAGTCTCTCTACTAACACAGGTTAAAACACACTGGTAGACTTCAAAGAAGTTCTTTTATCACAGTGGTTACATTTGTAATGACTGATGCACCATCTTTTATAAAAGGTGGATTTGAACATGGATCAGGAACTGATTGTCAAAGTAGAGCCCATTTAGTCATACTCACCAGCTCACAGAATCAGATATAACATATCATTTACACTCTGTGATTTTGATAAAGCTGAGCTTGGTAGAAGCAGTTTGGTTTTATACGGAACAGACTAAATCTGCACTGTTTCACAGGAGCCATGGATCTAACCAGCTGAACGCCGTTTGACTGACCACATCCAAACCTCTGCTCTTCTCCGAATACTGAGCAGAGTCTCAGCCTCTGACTGTCAGTCACACACCCACTCACTTTTCATCTTCACCTCAGCCCGATGTTCTCTCTCCCAGGTTTCAATATGCTGTCCTTCATCCTTCATTTCTCAGAAGATTCCATTTACCTTCTCTATATATTTCACTGACACCTTTTTCAGCCTTTTTCGCCCTTTCTTTCAGCCCCCCCACCCCCACCCTGCTGTCCCTCTCCCTCTAAAGCAATCATCTTTCTTCCTTTCTCTCTTTATTTACATGACACTGAGGTTCTCTCACAGGCAGGTGCGGATGGCAAAAGGCAGGCTTTTACAAAATGGTTCAGGTTTAATATCTTCCTCTTGATTTTCATCACAGCCCAAGAGCTTCATAGCAGAACTAACAGTCCTCTCGTAATCGCATTGTCCTTCTGTAAATATCATGGGCCCAGTCTCATCTTTATTTTATTACCACCTCCATCAGTAAAGAGTCCCAGTGTGGACCAGTATCATTTAGACTTGAGGTCCAGCCGACACTGGTCTCATATCATCCGCCCCTGCACAAAATACATCATCTGAAACGCAAAGGTCCTCCTCAATAAGACACTGAATCCAAAACAATAATTTGGTTTAGGCTAATATGTCAATGTTGATCATCAATCAGATAAAGATATTTTAGGGAATTATCTCAAAATAAAAACCGAGCCTTATGAAGCATGTAATGGTGAGTTGATCAGAATGTGTTAAAGTTCAAACCGGCTTGGACAATTACAGAAAAGGTCAAATCTGCTCAGATGTCTTTGCTCAACTCTTGTGCTCAACACTTGACCAATCACTCCAGACGGTTCAATCAGTGCTTTGCATGGTGTTGCCTGCCTCAGTTGTGTGAATGAATGAACAAAAGTAGAACTGCAAAGCACTTTAGATAGAAGAGCAGTAAGGTGCAAAATATATTTCAACAAATGGCCCAAAAATGCAGTTTCAAGTCCAGGTTATCTGACAGTAGCTTCTAGCTGTGAAATTGGGTTGTAATGCCTCCTTATATATATAAAAACTGGAAGAAAGGACAGGATTTGTTGAGTTATATGGATAATTGCAAAGAAATACATTCTGTACATTTGTAAATAACTCATCCTTAAATCATTTTAATTACAGTCTACCCAAAAAACACATACACTGCACATCGGAAAACCGGGATTCTGCACGTATCAAGTAAAATGTAAGACTTTTAAAGACCGTATTGAATGACAGACATGATCTGTGTCAAATATGACAGTAGCAGAGTAGAGAACAACCCTGTAAACACCCTGTTTAATAGACAGTATGTATCCACTGTCTCAGTGAACTGAGACTCGCTCTGACCACAGTGTTTCAGTTCCACGTCGGTCATGTTTGTAGCTTTATTACAGCGTGATCATATCTGAATCATTGAGGAAGAACCACAACACACAGAGATGTCACAAACTACGCATGCCAGCAAATAATATTTATCTTTGAATAAAATGCAGATTTTAAAGACAATTTAATATTTCAATGTATTAAAGACATTTGAGGGCCTAAAATTCAGATGATGAAATTTAGAACTTTTTTTCAACAGAAGTCTTAATGCCATGTGGGATTTTGGCAACTTGGCTTTGGCTACAAGTCACAACTAACGTTTAAATCTATAACAACCCCATAACAATCACATGAACAGCAAGAGACCACACACGCACTCACACACACAGCTAACATTATATCAACAGAAACAACAGCTATCTTAATAATTCCCTCTACGTAGGTCCATTGTGTCAGTCTCAGAACATACCTGTGCATCCATGCTGAGCTCCTCTGGCTCCCCTCACCTCTGCTGGAGGTGATGCTGTGGGTTTAAACCAGTTTAACACTGTTTCTTCCATCTCTGGAGTTAAATGAGAGGAGGAGTTGTGATGTTTCATGATGCTCAGTTTGCAGACAGGTAACAAGCTTCATGTCGGTCATGGATTTTCCAGTGACTCTGTCAGGGCAACATGTGCAACTTCACTTTCCAAACAAATGATTCTTCTTTGGCTTCGATTGCAGTTGGAAAACAAGCTGACAAGTGAATTACCCCCACCTACTGGACTGGAGTGTGGATTAGCAGAAAAGCCGGCCAACAACAAACAGTCCAAATTATTCCTGTGGGCTCTCTTTGAATTTTTTTTACCAACAAACCACGAACTTTATGTGCTGCGGACATGAATGAAGAATAGTTCAACATAAAGGTTGAGTTAGCTGTACTTGGAATAACGTCTATCTACTTTCATTTCCCTTCTTATTGCAAATAACTAAGTAAATGTCATGTTGGACTAAAAGTAACACATGGCAGTACATTCATTTATATAATGATATAAATGCTATTATGTTAGAGTGGCAGTGGTAAGAATAGAAAGTATAAGATAGAATTGCACTTAATAGAACACACACCACTGCCAAGGCCAGGCATTCCCCTCGAATTCAATCAGAGATAATCAGAGATATCAGTCTGATTTTCATCACGAATCACGAGTTATTCTCTGACACATGCTGCTTCGTAACACACGTTTTGTGGTTATCCTACTTATGAATAAACAAACAAACACATCATCCAACAAACAAACAGACCAGAGTAAAAGTGTTAAATTCAATTCCATTTTATTTGTATAGCACCAGATTATAATCTACATTATCTCAAGGTACTTATGTTCGAGACCTTGAAAACTGCAGAGAAACCCAACAGTTCCAACAATAAGCAGCACTTTGGTGATTGAGAGAAAAACTCGTCATTAACTGGAAGAAACTTCAGTGTGGGCGGCCATCTGCCTCGACCGGTTGGGGTGAGAGGAGTAAACTGCTGAAGAAAGAGAGGAGAGCGAGAACAGTTGTGTTTCAGCTCTGTCAGACTGGCTGTTGTATAACCTCCTTGACGGAGCTAAATATTGTAACATCAAGGGAAGGTTGAAAGAGTTAAATATCAAATATAACATTAGATATTTTGGGCACAATATAAGAACAGACACATTTAAGGTGTCTTTGGTGACATCATAGCTAAAATCCAGTTGATGGTTGATAAAAAAAAAAAGGTGTGAATGGCATCAGTCTGAGTTATAAGCAAGAAAGAACAAAATGTATATAAATAATAAGAGTTGGTGAAAATTAAACAAGTCAATGATACATTAGAGGGAGTAACTTTTAAGTCTCAATCCAATGATGTGTTGTTGATACTGATGGTCTGTCCTCTGAATCCTCATTTGTCACATGACAGGCGGCTGTGGCTGAGATCCAACCAGAAGGTCGGTGGTTCAATTTCCAATCTTAACCATCTGCATGCCGAGGTGTCCTTGGGCGAGATGCTGAACCCCGGATGGCCACTCATAGATGTTGAATGCACTAATTGGAAGTTGCTTTGGATAAAAGCATCAGCTAAGTGACATGAAATGACACACTGACATATACTGTAAAGATACTGTGTGTGTTTAAAGCAACCCAACATTAACCGGCTCGTGTGCATAACAACACATGCACACTGTGGATTTACTTCACACTCTTCCTGAACTTCTTCAGAGGCTGAACAGACGTTTTGTCCAAAAGAAATCAGTGTTGAATGTTTTCCTCAGCACAGAGAGAAGAAAGATGAGGAGAGAAAAGTTGGAACAAAACAGAGAATCCCTATGAGACTCCATGTGAGCTGCTCCAAATAGTCCATCAACAGCAGCCCTTCACACACTACTGGTTATCTAAAGCAGTGTGAACAAAAAAGCCCAACGTGGACACGTATCACATGTTTGCATGCGTGCATCATGAGTGTCTCTGAGGTTCCCTTTGTGGCGTCCGTCACCGTATTGATTCTTCAGAGTCACTCTCCGCTGTTTCTGGTTTGTAGTGTGCATCACGTCGTCAGCTGTTTATTAATAGATTCCCACTGGAGCAGCACATGCAACTCACAAACTCACTGATTGTTGCAGCAAAGGACTGATTTAACCCACTTACTGTACGGCCGGTCTATGAAGGCTTTCACACTGCGCTTCAAGTCTTTTCTTGGTAGAATCCTTATGTGCACAGGCAATTATGTATGTTATGTTGTGTTTGGGATTAATAGAAGAGGAAATGATGAGTCTGCACAGCTCAACAGACCCGAAGAAGCTTCAGCAATAAAAGAAAGAAGCTTCAGCAATAATGCCAAAATTAAAAGTCATGAGATGTTATGGTTTACAGCTTTAATCTATGGTGAACATTTTAGTTTAAACTCTGAACAGTGTGCAATTAGATACTCTGAATGTGCAGCGATGGAGCATTTCTACATACAACGCACTCGTAGACATTAGCTGGAGCGACAGTGCAATTAGGATGATTATTCCCATCACTGCATCCACACCTTTGTGCGGCTTTTGTAATTGATTAATTTATTTATTCACAATGACTCATTTACACATCACTGAAAAATAAAACATATCCCACAAAATTTCTGGCCATCAGACACTGAGATGTTTTCATACACACACGCCTTCATAGCAGACAGCCTCAAATGAAATAACAAAGTGTTTGAAGGAGAAAAGACTTTGCTTTGCTGCCATTTTCAATGCAGCCTCTATCGAAATAATTTTGCATGCTGGTGTGTTTATTGATATGCATTTCAATATTGCTTTTCATGCAAACTTTATTATGAGTTTCTTTGTATAAATTTCCTTTTATGTATTTTTTCCAGAATAAGAAAACATGTTTAGACGGATTTGATTTCCACATAAAATCATCAGAAAAAAGAAACAATTTTAATTGTAATTTATCTTTTTAATATCGCTTTGGTCCATTGTAGGGAGATCTGCAGTCAGAGTGGGTTGCTGCTCGAGTGCACAAATGTGAAACACAAAGTTCACACAAACAGTCAGGGTGAATAACTGGCCGAGTGCTGCGGAGATATTTGTATTTCCCCCGCTGAGAAATAACAGCACCCCAGAAGCACCCGCGAGACAGGGAATGAACGAGGAACAGAGAAAGACAAACTCGCAAAGCCTTATAAGTCAAGATAATTCTCGAGTGCAGCGGAGGAAATTGGCAGATTGGGGAAGAATAAGTGAGAGAAACAATCCTTTGCATTTTAATGAAACTTTGAATTGAACGTAAATAAAAGGCAGGAATACAGCAGTACATAAACAAAAAAGAAAACAAAGCAGCATCAGCTTTGGGAGTTTTGATGGAATTTTTAACCAGGCGGAACTTCATGTGTGTCTGTGATTGTTACACACTCCCGATGACGAGGTCTGACACAGGCTTACCTCGCTCAGGTGTGAGGAGAATGTGCGATGACTTCAGGTTTGGACCCGTCAGCTCACCTAGGCGATCAGGGACTTCAGGTGGAGGAGGGCAATCGGCCGCTTGAAGAATTCATGTGGTCCTGACAGAAACGCCTCTCACTATTTCTCAGAGTTAGCAGGACAGAGGTATTTTACAAATAATGAAGGGTGATGGCCGCAGTGATGGACCAACACTCCTCTCAGTGACCTTTCAGGTTCATGGGAATGTTTGTGAGGCTGTGTGTGTGTGTGTGTATGTTGTGCGTGGTGTGTGTGGAGAGAACAGCGCGCCCAATAAACTGGATAGAGCAAAGCTTTTTGAAGGACGAGTGACCTCATGCATCATGCTGGCATTCCTCTGCACAGTGGTGAAATGAGGGATTTTCTGTCCCACTCCCTTCTGTCCCCCATCTCACACTCACACTCACACACTCACACACACACACACACTCACTCACTCACACACACACACACACACACACACACACACACACACACACGTTTGTTTTTGTTCTGTTTGCAAGCACCCTGATTGCCAAAATGCTTTCCTCTGGACCTTTCCCCTCATACACACACTATCTCTAAGCCTTACTTTAACATATATAGTTGTGACTCTAGTAAACTACTCATCCTCATGATTTTGAGGAACGGGCTGCTTGTAGTGACGACACCACTGAGACTTCGGTGAAGAACAGGTGATGTAAGGCAGCAGCAGGGTTTGAAGCTTCAACCTTTGGATTGGGAAATAAAGTCCTTGTCCCTGAAATACACAGTGTTGACTGTATATGCTAATGAATACAAAATATGAACGTGTGTTGATGTTTTTGGAGATTTCTATAAAATGGTTTGATTACATTTTTGAACAGTTTTTAGGAAGCAGATGATTCACAGTGAATTTCAGAACAACACATTCAGACAAGTTGATAAAATCATTCAGATGTTCACTGTGGTGATCAGGAATTATGTCTCTCCAAGTTGACTACCTCAGCGTCTTCTACATGTGTGGCTCCTTTTTTTTATCTGTAGATATTTGTAGTCTTCGCATCATTTCCTGTCATGATGTCTCCAAACAATATCCAACTGTATTCTCTGGGCTCTGTAGATGAAAATATTTTACTAAATACCTTCTCTTTCATTTTCACCTGGACATTCTCCACAGTTTTAAATTGGAGGCTGTCAGGAAAAACTCTGGACAGTGTCCGCAGTGACATTTCACACATTTGCGTTCTCACATACAGTCTTTCTGGATGATTTCAACATCAGCACATGTCGGAGATCCAATAGTGATGAGGTGTTTGTTTAGATGTCATTTGACAAAATGTTTGTTTACAACTGGGCCAGAAATCTGATCACACATCCCTCAATATTATTGGAAAATTGTGTCTTCTGGCACAGGTCAAAATGTCCTCACTCCGCAAAAATACCCTCATGGTCAAATACTCACATTGAATGTCACAAAGATAGAGGTACACACACACACACACACACACACACACACGGACAGGTAGGCATACAGTACATCCCTAAACCTTAGAAGGTCAAGCTACTGTGGATTTCTGCCTGTTTCCATGACACTGCCAGCCCACAGTCTGCACTCAACCTGACTATCAATCAGCACATAAACCATACACAGGACCAGGCCACTGCAGTATAGGTAAGTGGACACACACACACACACACACACANACACACACACACACACACACACACACACACACACACACACACACAGATGAAT